TTCATTGTTAAAAATTGATTAAAAGTACAGCATTTTGCATTAAGTAATGCCAAAGCGTTGTAAAAAAAGAAGAATTCATTGTTCTTAATTAAAAGGAAGCAAATTATTACATAAAAGAAGATAGATCATAAAAAATATGTAAAAAAGTGTTTTTACTATACATATATAATAAGAAATTAAAGAGTAGTCTTTCTTATGAAATATTAAATCATTTAGTTGAACATTGAGATTTGAATATCAACATAATATATGAGCTACGCACTTAATTTAATTATAAGGTTTTATAATTAATTATAAAGTAAGATATTATGATATAAATTGCTTTTGGAGAACTTATAATAATTTTTATATTTTTTGCGTTCTGCATTTCTATATTTTTATAAGATATCATTATTATATGAATTTTTGTTAAGTGATGTAATAACAAATATCAGTTATTTCTTCTATATATATGTCATACATGAAATTTGTCATTAAATATATTGAAATTGAAATATGGCAAAGTTGTAGCACGTAAATCTCAAATTAATTCATGAATTGTATATTCTACGTTAGAAATAATAAATTTAATAATATCTCTATTTTATGGAAGACTCAATATAAAAAAGCTGATCAATTTATTTAAGAGTAAGAGAGTTGAATGTTAATTAATGTCTCAAATTCATTAAAATAAATTAGATTTTTTTTTATTTGAAGAAAAAAATATTAATTATGTTAAAAGTGAGAAATATGGCTTTTTAAAAATACGATATTATTATATAAACGATTTGTTCTAAACCTGAATTTAAAATATTGCACAACAATATTGTTTCCTCTTCCAGCAGAAAAAAACGACAAATGTCACGCTCTGTCTCTTGACAGTTGCACGCGAACCGTTGAACGGATGCTCACAATCAGTGTGATGGTCGAAATTACAATGCCACCTCAGATTTCTCAAACTATCTAAGGCAGTTATATCTCTTTTGGGATGCAAAATCAATGTAGCTGATTACTTCGCAAATGTTTGTAACGCGGAAACGTATAAGTGCAACAAACTTACATAAGTGCAAATAATTCCTCAGTAAAAAGTGAATTGTCTGCAAATAAAAAACACGTAGTCAAATATTATTTGATTTGTGATATTAAAGTGTTTGTTAAATTTAACATAGCGCTTTTCATTGAAATACAAATTTGGCAATTACGCGTAAGATTATTGTTTATCTTGCGTGATTACGGCAAATATACATATCATTCAGTACACATTACTTAATTTAGTATATATTATTTAATGGTCAAAGATTTATGCCTAATGATTCATGATTTTAATAATTTAAATGATTCATTTTATGATAAATACGAGAACTTCATCAATTTAGATCCATATTCGCGTTTCTTTAATATACTCGTTCGAATCGTTTAGAATGTAAAATTACTTTTAACGATTGCTCTTATCTGGTACGCAGAATGAAAAGTTTTCTTTGTACAATAATTTTGTGAAAACTGTTATTTTTATTTTAATACGTATTAATAAAATTTTTGTCGATTAGGAGAGCCAAATAATTTCACAATTTCCAAATTTATCAATGATATACATTTATATAAAATAAGCAAATTTGGCAAACGTTACTTTATTATTTTTTATACTAAATAATTTGATATTGATGTTACAATTTTTTATGACGGTAATGTTAACTAATTAAACGTTAAGATTAGAAAAATTACTTTGAAAAGTAATTTGTCACCATTATGTCTTACTGAAAAAAATAATAAGTAACGAGTAATTTGTAACGCATAACAATATTTATTACAAGTAATGTAAAAAGTAAAAATTTATAACGCGTTACAAATTAACAATTATTTTTTTTAAAAACGAATTTTTCCAATCCATTACAAGTAACGATTGACTTTTTTGATAGTAGCATTGATGTCATAAGAAAAAATTTACAATGTCATTAGCAAATCGTTATTATAACAAAGTATTATAACAATCAACAAAGTAACATCTTTAGTAACACGTTATTTGTCAATACTGCAAAAAGACTAGTTAAAACGTGAAAAATCTTTGTCATTGATTTCATCACTTTCTTTGTATCTGTTTTAAATATTTTAACAAATTCATGTAGATAATATTTGTTTTAAAGTAAAATGAATTTAAGTTATTTAATATAAGTTAGGATATCTCGGAGCTTTTGGAAAGGTTGATCATTTGGTTATTCGCTTCAAGATTAAGTTTTATTCTATACATGTCGTCTCTTCACGTCGAAGTCTCGCGAAACCTCAGTTGTCATCTCGCGATCAATCGGAAAGATTCTTTCGGAAAGAATTTATCTTCTTGTTTGTCTTATTCGAAAAGACTTTATAAATTTAAGCTTTTAAAATCGAGCAACATTTTAAAATTCGTTTGTTCGTCCTTGCAATCTGTACACTAAGAAAAAAAATTGTTCATTTGATTAAATTAATTTTGTTCATTTATATTTTTTTCTAATGAAGAATGTACGTATGTAAATCAAACATATTATATTTGATTTATATATATTTTTCAACGAAAGAAATCAAGACAATTAAATTAATTAAATTCAATAAACAATTTTTTTTTCTCAGTGTAATGATTATATTTAATGACGTTTATTGTTATTAAAATGCTATTATTCCTCTTAATAGGTAGTGTCTTTTTGAGACACTACCATGTCTCCTAACTAGGCGCGTAACTGTTATATACCGACTGCATTTTCTATTTGTCCGAGAAAATATGAGCTGTGAAATAAATGCTATTTATAAAGCGTTGAGAAAATCGTTACGCTTTGTCTCGCTATGCGTGACTGACCCACCTGTCTCGTGTGTTTGTATTTCGTATTTTCTTCCTCCGGATAGTTTAGTCTACTCGCAGATATGTACATTTAATGTACATAATTTTAGATGTATATAATTTTATATAGATATATATAATTTTAGATGTATATAATTCTCGTGAATTTTCATATCTTAAAGACTTTTGCAATCGGAATAGTGATGATGCAATCACTACATGAATATTTATATTTGATAAAAAATATATTTCATATTTATTCTTTGTATATTGATATTAGAAGAAAAAGTATGTAATGTCGAAAAAGTATACTTATTATAATACTTTTTATATAAACATTTGAATAACATTTCATAAAAACATTTTGTATAAATAGTTAAAGCATATTATAAATTTTAAAATGAGTATTGAAGTTGAAGTTTAAATGAGTATGTCCTCTCTTTCTGTGTCATTACATAAGAAGGTATTGTAGGTATAACATTTCCATAGCAATTAGGTTCGTATGATATCGCATTAGCTTTGCAATTGTTTCGACCGACTTTTGCTTGCTATTTCATTGCAAAAGATACTAATTCTAAGAATTAAAAAAAAAATGAAGAGTAAATTGTACTGAGATTAAAATTCTACATTGATGAAAGCGAATATTATAGTATCTATATTGAGACACTTTCTTTTTCTTTATTTTCCTTAAAATTAGAGAGAAAAGACTCGTTTGCTAAGCGTGGCTAATTTCGTGGCTTTATTTTCCTTCTCGTATTTATTCGTTGGCATAGATAATAATAAATACGCATCCAATATAAACATATACAATACATGCAGATTCACTGTCTATATGTATATGTATGTACATTTAAAGCAGCCGTTAATTACTATTGCATTTGTAGAAGTCTGTATTTACTACCTTACACACACACACACACACACACACACACACACACACACACACACACACACACACACACACACACACGCACGCACACACGCACAAAACAAACTATGCATGGAAGTCATCAGCAACCTTCTACGATAGCATTTACGATAATGTTATATTTGATATTTAAAAGTTTTATTCAAGAAATAAAATATTACATTAATCATCAATTTTATAAATGGATTTATATTTCGCGGAAAATTTAATCTTGATTTCAATAATAAAATTTTTGACAAACTTAGATGCGATTTTTTAATAAAATTTAAGAACATTCGTTGTTTATTAGATTTTTTAAAAATATTTAACGTATAAGTATAAGAATAGAAAATTTATGACGGTAATTAAGATTACAAGAGAAAATAAGTAAATATTTAAAAAATACAATAAAAATTGATTATATAATTTCATTATAAAGCTCACTAAAATTATTAAATAAAAATAAATATAAAGACACGATGAAAATAGATATAAAGATATAATGAGGTAAGAATAATTTGATGACGTGGCGTAGATAATAAAAAATAATGTTAACTCATTTATATTTAATTATGCTGGGCAATATTAGTGTAGTTTACACAACTGCAGACGCGATAAAACTGAAGATGTACATGTATACTTTTTTTTGCCTTTTTGCCAGTTATGTATATGACTCAGTCTTGTAGGGTTCTGACAACGATGGACACGAATACGACTACGTTTGTACGCAAAAATGGCTGTACGATTCCCTGGTATTGCGCTTCTTTTCTGGGCGTTTTTTTTCTATTCAGCTTGGTCGCCACTGGTTTGTTAGTGTATTATTTCGCACCTTGTCATGAGAAGCAAGTTTCGACAAGCACGGAAACGGATATTTTCTCTCCGACAATACCAACAAAGAAAGATATAGATATTAGATTACCGAGAGACATTGTGCCGGATTTGTACGAGTTATGGCTAATACCATTCATATGGGAAGGCAACTTCACTTTCCACGGCGAGGTAATGCTTTTTAATTTAGTAACATTTTTTGTTATAAAAGTATTAATAGACTCCCAAAATTGACAAAAAACATAGAGATAGGCTAATATGAGAGTACAAACCAGATCGTAACGCGCAATAAATTTAATAATTATAAAATTGATATATATATATA